CCCCAGCCCATGGCAGCCCCCAGCCCATGGCAGCCCCAGCCCATGGCAGCCCCTGCTGTGGTCGGACACGCCCACCCGCCAGCCTGGCCTTTGTTGATGGGATCCTGCTACCTTGACGGCGGGGGAAGGGCTCTAAGGGTGACCCCACGCCCCCCTCAGGGGTGGGGTAGCAGGAGTTTTGCAGGTTCCAGGAGGGACCCCTGCTCATTCCTGAGGACACACAGCGGCTCCTGACAGCGGGCCCCGCATGGCCCTCCTGTCCCCCACCGCCCTCTGACCTCCTGATCTGGGGCCCACATTGGATGGGGGGGAGCAGAAGCCCCTCCCAGTCCCCGGGCTCCTAAAGCAGCTGGGGGCTGGGGAGGGCGGGGCTGGGGCTGCAGGTGAAGCTCAGGTGTCCCCTGACCCCCCTCTGGGCTGCCTCTTCAAAGAAACCAGGATCTAGGACCCCAGGTGGCTGAGGACCTGTTGATGTCTGTGATAAGTGGCAGGCTGCCCAGGGGCCAGGGCGGCAGACAGTCGTCCCCCTGGTCCCTGGAGCACTTCCCTGGGTCACACAATCCTGTTTGCTCCCCACCATACAGGTGAGGAAGCTGTGGCACAGAGAGGTTCTACAGTGAGCCCAAGGTCACACAGCCATGTGGATGGCAGGTACCACAGCCTGAGGGTGCCCGTGCCAGAGACAGGGACAGGAGCCTGCACCTGACTGGGGACATCACACTTTGGCTGTGCCACCGCCTCACCCCACTGTCCACACTGCATGCCTCCGCTCCTACCTGCAGGTCTCCTCCGTGCTCGGAGCTCAGCTGGGAGAAGAACTCTGAGGGGTCTGGGATGCGACACTTCAGAACCTTCTTCAGCCTGGACCAGGGAGAGGAAGGAGGGTGAGGGCAGGAAGTGGCCGCAGTGTCCCCTGCCAGAGCCCACAGCTCTGCGGGCAGGTCACAGGCCAGTCCACATGCACCCAGTCCTGCAGCCAATACGATCAAGGCCCCACTGCAGGAGGACGCTGGGCGGGCTCTGGGGACACAGGAATGGCCACCAGAGAAGGTCCCTGACTTCTAGGGGCTGACATTCTGAGGAGGAGACAGACATATACCAGGCATGTCACAGTACCACCATCCTGTGGAGCAGAGTGCACTCAAGAGGACGTAGAGGTGGGCAGAGACCACACAAGCCAGAGTGGTCAGGGTTGGAGGTGGCTGGCGCAGAGTGAGGCATGAGAAGGGAAGTAGGAGAGAGTCCTCCTAGTCAGGGATGCCATGGGTAATGGTTCAGGTTGTGCACTGTCCAAGGGCATCTGGCTTTGGTGGGTGGACTGGACAGTGAGTGGGGGGCTGAATTCCAGGCCTGTTGTTTGCCAAGCTGAGTGTCAGAGATCTGTGTGCATCTGCCTGAGGAAAAGGGCACGGCTTTCTTATTTGCATTAAAGTTCCAAATGGCTGGTGGAGGCCCTGGACCGTCAGGGTGTACTCCAGGGACAGTGGGAAGTCTCTGAAGAGTGTTAGAGCATGACACAGGAATGGACTGAGGGGACTGAGAATGTCAGAACCGCCACACTGGGCCCAGATCAGGAGAGTTGGGCTTCCACCCCAGCCTCACTGCTAACTGGCTGTGTGACCTCAGGCAGGTTATCTGACTTCTCTGAGCCGTCCCTGCACTGCTTAAAATCTAGTGGCAGCCCCTGACTCGCTGCCAAGAGGGATGTTGCAAATGGACACATTTTGRGCACAGTCAAGGGCTGTCTCTCCTTTCAGTAGCACCAGGGCTGACCTCAGGGGGCAGTGTCCCTGGATAGAAGGGTGGCCTCCTCACTACCCTTCCACACAGCAGCGAGCACCACAGCCAACAGCCCTGGTCCCAGGCCACCAGGCACACAGCACCAGGTCCTCACTGTGGCCATTTTTAAGACCCCAGAAAGCAAACACGGCCCACAAGTCCAGGTTCAAGGTCAGCCTCCCTCTGGGCTCTGGCCACATCGGGCCTCCCGGCGTTGTGTTCCTGGGGTTCCTCCCTCTTCCTGCCCAGGGCCTTTGCACCTGCCGTTCCTCTGCCTGCAGGGCTCCCCGTCCCCTCCGCCCCACCTGGGAAGCTCCTCCTCAGATTCCAAGGGCATCATCCCCTCCTGGGGGACACGACCCCTGCACCCCCCGCCGAGGTCCCTCTCCCTGTCACCTGCTCCTGACTCCTGGTACCTGCTGTCCCTGCCTGCGTCATTGCCTGTTGGTTAGGAAGCACCCGCCTCCTCACTGGCTGCCCTGGGAGCGGGGAACAGGCCCGTGTCTTGCCCTCGTGTTCCCAGCACAGAGAGGGCTGGATGAGTGGACGCRCAGCCTGGGCAGACCCGGCAGGACAGGGCAGGGCTCGAGGGCTCTCCCTGGAGGCCGTGCCTCCCTGACTCCCCACCTGGGGCCAAGTTGCAGGGCCAGGCCAGGTGTCGGTGGGGCCGGCCCTTGGGAGCAGGTGCAGGTGGGTCGGGGCAGGGGCTCAGGGCAGAGCCAGCTGGGGGAGTGCCCGCTTTCTTACCACGGCCCGATGTACCCGAAGTTGGCCAGGAAGTAGACGGAGACCATGAGGCCCACAGCAACCCCGAGGCCCAGGATGGTGTGGCTGAACCAGGGCAGCGGCAGGGTGTCCTTCCCAGGGGCTGCCCAGGGGGAGGGAAGCAGGAGACGGGTCAGAGAAGAGGCCCGCATCCTGCCCGGCGCCTGAGTTGGGGGCTGGGGTCCACTTAAGGCCACCCCTCCAGGAAGCCAGGCGAGACGCTTAAAGGACATGACGCTCCAGAGCCCCTGGGCTCGGCCCATCCCATGGGCCCACCTGGGGGCACACAGGGGGCCCGGCCTGGCTGGAGCCTGAACGTCACAGGGTGCCAACCCGCCCTGCACCCGCCACGGGCCATGGAAGTCCCTCCCTGGGTGAGCCCTGTCCCCGCCGGCTGCAGCAGGAGCCAGCCCCAGAGCCACCCCCAGGTGCCCGCAGCCCCGGTACCTGCAGGCCTCGTCCTGAAGGCCAGCGGCTGGCTCCAGGGGCTCCACACCGTGTGGTCGCCTCGCCGGGGCCTGACCCGCACCTGCAGCTCATACGGGGTGTGCGGGGTGAGCTGCTCCAGCCAGATCCATTGCTGCTGCTGCCTGAGGCTCAGCAGGGCGGCCTCCTGGGCAGGGGCAGGGCGGTCAGCGTGGGGGGACGGTCCCCACTGCCCACGGCACCTCCCACGGCTGAGCCAGGACGCTGGCCCAGTAGCGCCCGCCCTGATCTGCCACCCGTCTCCCAGCCTTCCCGATGGCTCCCGGACTGCCCAGCTGCTGGGTCCCCGAGCCCCAGGGTCACCCTGACTCCCTGCAACCCCCACACTGAGCCATCTGCCCATGGGTGTCTCCACCAGAGGCCACCTGGGGACCTCCACTGGAGTCCCATCTCTTCGAGGAAGAGGGGTGGCTCCACAGGTGTCCACCGCCTCGGACGCCTCTTTCCCTTCTTCCTGTCCCCAGACACGTGGGCTGTGTCCTGCCTGTGAGAGGCATGACRTCCTCTGTGTTTGGAAAACACCAGAGTTCCAAGTGGCCCTCACGGTCTCTCTCAAATGTCTGTCCCTGTAGTTCCCTTGATGGCCCTTGTCAATCCATGTCCCCATCTCGCATCCTCGTGTCTGCCTACCGCCCTCCCTGGGAGCGTGTGTCGGAGTCCCCGAGAGTGGCCAGCTCCCAGCCTGGCCTCCCAGGCTCTCCCCGGCGTAGTAGGTGCTCAGTAAACGAGTGCAGAGAGGGATCAAGTGAACAGAGGAGGAAGTGGGGACCCGCGGCACCACGGACAGGGCACTCTGGAGCGTGGAGAGGCTGCTTCGTTGCCCTCTGAAGCCACACGGGCAGACGGGGTGGGCGGCAGCTGCCCCTTGGCTTCATGGGTCTTGCCCTGGGGGCTGCCTGGATGCACCCCCACTGCATCCCCAGGTGGTGGGCAGCACCACGCAGCGGGGAGGTGGGGACAACTCAGCCACCCGCCCCTGCCTGGGGCTGCCGGGACGTGGCTGAGCTGGAGGACAGACAGGAAGTGGACGTGCAGCAGGACAGGGAGGAGCCGGGTGGGCCGGGCCGGGCGCCTCCTACCTCCCAGCTGTGGCCCGGGGACCGCGTGCGGACCTGGAACTCCAGGTAGGACTCTATGTAGTGGGAGACCAGGGAGGTGCGCCAGGTCACGTTGCACGTGTGGGTCCCGACCTCGAGGACCTGGAGGGAGTCGGGGGCCAAGAGGCGCACTGGGGACAGGAGAGAAGAAGGGACAGCTGGGTGCCTCTGGTGGTGACAGCAGACCGTCAGGCCGGACCTCACCGGCACCCCCGCACCGCTGACCCTCCCTCCTGGCCGCCGTCCCTCCCCTCCCCCATGCTCAGGGCTGTCCCCTCCTGCAGGTCCCTGCTCAGAGCCTCCTGGGCCTCCTGGCCACCCGCCTGCTGCTGTCCCTCCAGCACTGACCACCCATGGCGCTAGTGTCCGCTGTGGCTCCCTTTTCTGTCTCAGCCCCGCAGAGGGCAGGACCTGAGGTGCCCGGGGCCCGGGGCCTGGAATGGCCCCTGGTTTTCCGTGTGATGGTCACAGGGGATTCTGAAGCCCCGCTGACCCTCCTCTCTAGCCTCAGGTCCGGGCCCACTACGTGCCGAGCGGCTTCCTCCACTGGGCTCAGAGTCCCTCACACGACTGTGGCCAGGCGGCTCTGGGTACCTCCGGAGGAGGGGACGGGCTGCACCCTGGTTCTCACCACCCAGCTCTCCCCTAGAGAGGTCCCCCAGGTCAGGGAAGGGGGCGGCCACCGGCCACTTCCAGCCAACCTTCCCAGAGCCCTGCTGGGCACAGGCCTGGTGCCTGGTGCTCAGAGAGGAGATGGGGAGGGCAGCCACTGTGCCCTCGGGGAGCCCAGGGCCGGCGAGGCAGTGACACGTCAGATGGCTGAGCTCAGGGCTGGGCGTCGGGTGGGTGGCTGGAAGAGGGGACCCTCGCGGCCTTCAGGGTTGGGGACCTCCCGGGTGGGTGGCCTTCCAGGTGCGCCCAGCACGCCCGGGGCTCAGAGGCACTGCTGGTGGCCCGGGTTCAGGGACAGGCTGCAGGGCGGGGGCCAGGGAGGACAGCCAGGGCCACCCCTGAGCCCAGGGCGGGAGCCGAGGGCGGGTGGTGACGGGGACAGAGCCCTCACTCACTGCTGTGGAAGGGCCTGAAGGCCTGGCTCTTCAGCAGGCGCCACCGCCCGTCCTCCCAGCAGACCACGCTGATGTTGAGGATGTCCACCGCGTTCACGGGCTGGGACTGCGGGGAAGAGGGGCCRTGTGGCTGCCAGCCGCAGGGGGGCAGGGACCCACCTCAGGTCAAAGCCTCCCACACTGCTCCCAGGTGGCCTGCGTGTGGCTGCAGAGGCCACGCCTTCCTCACTGTGACCTGTGGCCACATCGCCTGTCCCCTGACCCTCGAGAACCCACAGAAGCCAAGGAAAATGAGGCCTGGGCGTCCCTGATGGAGAGTGCCCAGATGCCACCCGGGAAACGGCCATGAGCCCCCCAGAGGCAGCCAGGCCGGCAGCCTCCAGGGCCAGGGCCAGCTGTGTCCAGCTGTGCCCTCCCTGGCTGTGGCCTCGGGCAGGGGCCACCCCTCTGACCCTCTTTTCTTCATGAGTGAGAGGGACGGTGCTGAGCCACTCACGGTGTAAGGACCCGTGGACAGCAACAAAGCCCAGCGCCGTCCACGCGCTCCAGCCTCACGCGTTCCCTCCGGGGAGCCGCCATTACTGCTCCCATTTCACAGAGGGGACACCAGGGCCCTGAAGTTGCCCAAGGTCATCCATCTGGGGGACGATGCCACCAGCCCTGGTGTCCAGCTCAGTCCCCAGACGTCCCTATCACCCTGCGTGCCCAGCCCTCGCACGAGTCCCCTGTGGGTGTCCCGTTACTGGGGCTGTCCCCATTCGACAGGGACCATGGGCGTGTTGCAGGACCCACAGAGCGTGGGGGACAYGGCCTGGACAGAGGCACATGGCCTCACTCGTCCAGGGCAAGCCAGGCCAGGCTGAGCTCTGACCCGGGTCCCCTCCCTCCTGCCGCCGCCTCCTCAGCCCGGGAGCCGTGGAGGTGGCCTGGCCACGCGTGTCGGCTCCAGGGCCTCTGGAGACCCCGTCCGGAGCTGGACCCCAGCTTCACGGCTGGGCTACTCACATCCGGCTTCCCGAGGACCAGGTCGCAGGCCCAGGACGCCTGCCCGCCCRGGGACAGCTGGCAGGTCTTGTTCCAGGGCCTGCAAGGCAAGAGGGCGTCCTGAGGAAGAGGGAAGGGCCCGCGCTGGGGGGACTCCTCTCCGTCCTGGGCAGCTCTTCTGCCGCCTGGAGAGGACCCGACCCCCAYCTGCCCCCCAGAGCTCCCTGGGGCCAGCGCCTTCCCGGCCCTCGCGAGCCGTCCCGGTGCCGTCCTGAACTTGGCCTCCAGAGCCCCAGGACTCAGGGCCACCAGGAGCCAGGCCCAGGCTCCGCCGGCCTCCCGCTGCCCACCCCGCCCCACAGAGCCCACTCTGCCCAGCCTCCCTGCCTCCCCAGCCTGCGGGGACCAGGCTGCACCCAGAGACACCCTCACCAGCTCCCTCCCAGCCCCCGGGTCCCCAGGCACTCCCTTTCCCTGTCCCGCAAGACAGCACTGGTCCAGCTAATGGTTCCCTGTCCCCCAGCTGCCCAAGGCGGGGGAGTCCTCTCAAAATCCCAGCCCATAATGGAGCCCGGCCTCGGGGAGCAGGAGGCCTTCCGTCGACCCCAGACACCTGTCCAGCTCAGGGCCACCCCAAGGCTKCGGCCTGGACCCTGGCCAGGCTCCAGGTGCGAACAGCTGACTGGCCACAGCGACCGTCCGACCCCGTGACTCGAGCCTGCTGGGTCCTGTTGGCCCGAGGTTCTCAGTGGCTTCCTGGGGCCGATATGCAGGACTCAGTGGCTGTGAGATCCCAGGCCCGAGGTCCTGCYGCGATTCCAGGGGCCACACTCACCGGACGTTGGACTTGGCGTGGAGCTGGCAGATCGCGCCCTGCGGGCCCCCCTCCCGGCTCCACTCGCAGGAGACGTTGGCTTTGGAGTTGTAGAAGCAGGAGAGCTGCGACGTGTCTGTGGGCAGGCGGGCGGTGAGCGGAGGGTCGCAGGGGGACGTGGGCACCACCACCCTGCTCCCGCTCCCGCTCCCTGCGCCTGCCAGAGGAGGAGGGGGCGACTCTGGCCCGAGGAGAAGGGATTCAGAGCCTGCCCGGTCCGTGGCGAGGAAGCAGCCTCTCTGTGGCTTGGACAGGCAGGTCCTGCAGCAGGGACCAGCCCAGGGCCCAGCGGGGAGGTGGACGCCTGCTTCCGGGTCCCCACTGCCCCGTCCCTCCTCCCCTGCCTCCTGCGACCCAGAAGCAGGGACCTGGGWAGGGTTCTAGAGGCCTGGGCCCCCTCCCCAGGGAAAGCACAGCCAGATGCCAGGGTCCTCACCATTCTCCACTGCAGACGCCAGAGGCAGGAGGAGGAGGAGGAGCAGACACCAGGACAGAGTAGGGGCTGCCATCACCTTCATGAGGTGGAGCTGGGGCAGGGAGCCCTGGCGCTAGGGGGAGAGAGCGAGAAAGTGAACACCACCCCTCGGGTACCCTGCTCCCCACCTGCCCTGGCAGCCCCAGGGCCTTTGCACTTGCTGGCCCCGCCCCCACACAGGCCACTCCTGTCCTTTGCATTCCTGCTCAGATGTCACCTCCTTGGAGAGGTCCTCCCTGAGCACCTGTTACTTGCCACCCAGCATTGTTTGTTGACAATAGTAAATAAATCTCTATCCTTGGGAAATGTGTTCCAAGACCCCGGGTGGGTGCCTGAAATCCCAGCCAACCTCTCCACACTCTCTGCTTGTCCTGTGCCGCACATCTATGAGAAAGTCTGAGGTGGACATGGGTGCGTCAGAGATTAGCAACAGTGAAGAAAGATAGATGTTTAGTCCTAACAATGAACCGCAGCAAACGTTATTTGAATGTGGTCTCCCTCTCTCTCTCCCTCTCTCCCTCTCTC